GTGCTCTGTGAAGGACTACGCACGTGAACTGTACATGGCAGTGGCACGAAAGATGGGAATTACAGAGCCCAAACCCTTTACTGCTTCCTCTGGGTGGTTACAGAGGTTTAAGATCCGGAACAAGATCACCAATATAAACATTGGTGGTGAAGAAGCGAGTGCTGATCGTGCTGCGGCTCGGGAATTTCCTCCGTTTTTACGTGAGATTATGGAGGAAGGACAGTACAGTGACGACCAGGTATTTAACATGGACGAATCTGGTCTTTTCTGGAAAAAGCTACCTTCCAAGTCCTTCGTTGTGAAGAATGCCAGCAGGATTCGGGGCCGGAAAATGCAGAAGGAACGCATCACCGTCCTGTTTACCACCAATGCCTCCGGTACCTGTAAGCTCAAGTTATCGGTGATCCACACAGCACGCAAGCCGCACGCCTACAAAACCATGGACATGACCAAGCTAAATGTCCACTGGCTGACCGCACGTAAGGCGTGGATGTTCTCTACACTGTCCCTCTCCTGGTTTGATGACTGTTTTGTTCCTGATGTAAAGAAATTCTGTGAGCGACAGAATGTGCCATTCAATATTTTGTTGCTGCTGGACAACGCACCAGGACACTCGCCCCTACTGTTAGATCGTCACCCCAACGTAAAAGTGGTCTTCCTTCCTCCCAACACTACGTCTATATTACAGCCCATGGACCAAGAGTTAATCTGTAATGTAAAAGCTGCATTCTCAAAAAAAAATTCCAGCTCCTGAACGACTACACCAACACCAGGGAAGAGTTGCGTAACCTGAGTGACACCACCACCGATAGCAAGAGCGAAGAAGATGAGGATCAACAGTTGGCACAGCAAAAAATACTGTTCAAACAATTCTGGAGAGTATTTAACATCAAGAAAGCTGTGGACTTCTTGGTGGAGTCATGGGATCAGCTGTCTATTGCTACAATTCGTCACGCATGGAGACATGTGTTGCATGGAATACCAGGTGAGAGGAGGAGTCAATCTGTGACTGGTGAGGTTCAGAATGTTGCAGTAGCAGTGGACCTTGCCAGAGAAGCTGCGCAGACTGTTACAGTTCCAGGCTTCTCCGAGACCACCAACGACGACATCCTGGAGGTGATCAGAGATCCTGAAGTGACTGCCGACGAGATGTTGGAAGAAGATCACGTCAGTGAAGAGGAGGAAGGTGCGTCATTCTCCGAAGAACACAGTTTAACTCAGTGATATTAAGGGTGCCATGGAGTGTGCAGAGAAAATGAAGTCCTTCCTTTCCCGCGACAATGACGATGACCGCTATGAAGTCTTCCATACCCGGCTGGTGCAGGCTATGGAGCCGTACATCACGGTGTATCACGACAACATAAACACCAACCGTCAAAAAAGCATAACCGAGTTCTTCGCCCGCAACCCACCACAGCCAGCCCAAGCCAGTGATAGTGAAGATGACTGAGGGATTTGTCAGGGAAGCCCTGACAACTGTAAGTGACAGTGATGGTGATTCACCTAGTAATGGTGATTCACCTGAGGGCCAGTAATCTGCCCTCTGCCTCGGAACCAGCTTCCATCCCCGTATGCCGACCCATCTCTTCTACTACCGTAAGTGTTCCACCTAACTTTTAGTTTTTCTAACCTAACCTTTATTTTTCCTATGTAACCTTTATTTTTCCTAACCTAACCTCTTCTATATTACTTGTTTTTTCATACCATCATAAAGTTAAGATAAATTTTTTACTACAACATAGTTGTGTGTCGTCAAAAAGTGGAGTTTGGGGGTCGGCCGGATCATTTCAGGTCAATCCCCATATGTTATGTTATTCACTTTACGCATTTTTCTCACTTCTGCGGGACCCTCGGGTTACATTAACAGCGTAAAGTGAGGGATAACTTTATATATATATATATATATATATATATATATATATATATATACTGAGTTTAGGATACACGGATTCATAAATACGTGCGTGCCTGACACAGAGTACCGAAGGCAAATTGTTTACCATTTATTATTACGACACTTTACACTGAAACGCGGGTAGTTTCAACAAAAATATTGTATATTTCCTTTCAAGTATTTATTCAAGTAAATTAGAGAGGAATATTATTGTAATACAACAGTTTTTTAACTGAACACCAGTACTGTACATATGTACAACAATTTTATCGACAATATATGACGTTTATATTCAAATTATTCCTCTTGCAAGGATTCCAGCAATGCAAATTATAATCTCCTAACTTTAGTCTGAGATATTATATAAGATAAAAACTGTAAGCCTAAATAAACCCTGGCTGAGCAGATGGGGGAGGGAGGGAGGGAGGGGGTCGGAGCCAGCCAGCCAGCGACGGATGGGGGTTGGTGGGGGTTGAGGTATGTTTGACAGTTTGAGCCGAAAGGTCTCTGTGTGTTTATTTAACAGTCCTACTACCTTCTCCCATTTTAAAATGCCAGTGAAATGACCTGGGAGAATACAATTAACAATTGCTGGGATTTGTTAAGACACTGATTAATTTGAATAGCAACATGCTCTAATTTGCACTAGACATAACAATTTTAGTACCATGTGGAAATTAGTACATGTACCTCCAGCTTTGCACTAAGGTCATTTATTTCTTTTAGTACTGTGTGTGCATGTAAATGGATGAAAATAAATGAAGAAATTTATGTAAATCTACCCAAAAATACAGTTAACTTTATACTGTATTATAAAATGTACTGAACATTATTTTACTAATAATACAATGTGCACTAATATCTTGAGCAAAATATATGACGTTTATATTCAAATTATTGGCTGTCTTGCAAGATTCCAGCAATGCAAATTATATCCTAACTTTAGTCTGAGATATTATATAAAAAATAAACACCTTAAAGAATAAAGTTATTGCCAATCTTTTGTCTGGGAACACAAGGAGGAGGTAGCCAGCCAGCAGTATGGGTGGGGGATGAGGTGACAGAGTGTGGTGTTTGTTTATTTATTTGAGATAAGATGTGACAGTTGGCACTGAAGGCCTACTGTTTATTTATCATTACTTAAGAGTGACTAAGCTCTTCTCATAATTTGCCACCCAAACGACCTGGGTGAATATAACTTACATTGCTGGGATTCTTGTAAGATAGTGATTTATTTGAATACCTGTATAAACAATCTATATTTGCAATAGACATGCCAATTTAAGTACCGCAGTCATTTAGTACATGTACAGTACAGGTTTGTTCCACGGTAAAATCTTTTGAACAACGAAAGAAAGTTAAAGTCATTGTTTTCGTCATGATTTTATCCCACTTTCCACTGTAATACGTACGTCATTTCAGCAAAAATATTACATTTCCATATTTATTTCTGAGAATATATTCATTCAGTCACAGTTAAGGTAAAATATACTTGTGATGTAATATTTTAATGGAAATACCCGGTATTTAGAAATACGGTATCGTAGTTTTCTTTTGTTTCAAATTTGATTAACAAAGAAAGATGTTTCAAATGTAATGAACAAAAATTTATGTACAGTATCTATAAATAAACTTTAAAAATGAATACTTTATGTAATAATAATAATAATAATAATAATAATAATAATAATAATTAACAGTTTATTGAAAAAGTTCTGCAGCCCGAAGGCTGAAAATATACATTGGACATAATTGGTGGTTTAACATAAGCCTTCATTAGAGGAAGGTAAAGGAACATACAGTAAACATACAGATTAATGTTTACAGTGGAGGTCACGTAGTTCACATGGGCTGAGGTGTTGAACAGCAAACACGTAGTGTAGTAACTCCCTCACAGATGGTGTTATGAGGGGCCTCACTTGGTGTAGTAACTCCCTCACAGATGGTGTTATGAGGGGCCTGACGTGGTGTAGTAGTTCCCTCACAGATGGTGCTATGAGAGAACCCACGTGGTGTAGTAATTCCCTCACAGATGGTGTTATGAAGGACTTCACGTGGTGTAAAAACTCCCTCACAGATGGTGTTATGAGGGGCCTGACGTGGTGTAGTAGTTCCCTCACAGATGGTGTTATGATGGGCCTCACGTGGTGTAGTAATTCCCTCACAGATGGTGTTATGTGAGTGAGGTGTGGTCCCAGGCCTTCCTATCGTAGACGGATTAACACATCAATGGTTGTTGTTGGGTCTCACGGGCAGTTATCACTGGGTACCTGGGACCTCACTGTGTGAAGGTTAACTTGGGTACGACTCGGCTGTTACTCACTGACTTAAGCACTATTCACCACTGTTCACCTCTGTTTAACACTGGTTCCATTCCTTTCCTAAATGAAATTGTAACTTCTGGCGAGAACTTGTTGATATTCCGGTGGGGAGGAGGGGTTCAGGGGAGGGAGTTGGTATGGGCCAACTTAACAGTTGACCTGGCTGCTCCGAGAGGAGCGCCAGGTATGTCTTGACCCTTCAGTGGTCAAGGATGAAGTGTGAAGTGTTTTACATCGTCCTGTGCATACCATACCATACCATGAATTTGACTACTTTGGGCTAGCTATGATGACGCAAGAGATCTGCCCTGGCAACTGTACCGACACTCACAGCCGGTGGTGCGTAGGTGCGTCGTTTCCATTGTTTACTGGTAGTTACTGGTAAATATTTTTCAACCTAACGAAACTATTACTCGTTTAGAGGTCGACCCCCAATTTTTTGCCAAATAAATTGGTCCTAAAAACTCGAACTACACACAGGTATATACAGTAAATAAGGACATGGGGGGCCAGGGTTTTTTTTTGGGGGGGGGGGGCAAAAGTACACGGATTTTTAACATTCACGGGTATTCTCTGTTAAACCTAACCCCGCGTATGTTAAGGGCCGATGTATGTGTATATATATATATATATATATATATATATATATATATATATATATATATATATATATATATATATATATATATATATATATATATATTGCAAAGTAAAGGAAAGTAGTTGGACTCCTGAGCTTACACTATAGTATTACCGTATATTCAAAACAACATGGGGTGACTCACCTAGAATGAAGAGTGAGGCAAGGGCGACCAATAAGCACTGCCAGAAAGGTGGATATTCGCGCATTTGGTCGTAATATTTGTACACCACAAAGAAGGTGTAGCCGAAGGCAGCATTGAACATAGAGAGACACATGCTGGCCACTGGTATTGAACCTGTGGGCGGTGGTCACGTGATTAGTGGAATCGTGTTATTTCTAATAGACTTACGAGTGTTACCGACGCCTTCTACACAGACACATGGACCTGTACTTATATAGATCAAATCGTTTCATATGTCAATTAAGAATAGTAATGTATGAAAGTGTTAATGCACGGAATTTTTTTTAGATAACATCTGTTTTGGTGTTTCGTATGCTAGGGTCATTAGCACCTCAACCACCGCCATAGTTGCGTTGTCGTCGTTTTAGATTTGTGTGCTTCAGTTGGCACTGCCAACTTGGCAGGGTCATTAAACACAACACAAAGATCCAGCTTCTCCTATTCGTGCTATGATAAACTTACACATGATTCTAAGTTTATTAATTGCATATACAAAAAAAAAATAAAAATAGAGAACACTGGTGTCCACCACACACTCACCAACATCAAAATGCCATAAGCCTTCTAACTTACGAGCTAAACTGGTGGATTTCCTCGTCATTTGGGGCTGGCACAGTACTATCACTTCTTGGGCACTTTAAATTCACCCTTGGATATTTTGTAGTACATGAAGAGAAATAATAAAGGAAATGGTATCCAAAAATTGTCGTGCACAAACACTAGCTGCTGGGCACAACACAAACAACAGAGTACAGTACAGTATATCACTCAAATATTGGTGTGAACACAGTGTCCTCCACACTACTGTGCTCTTTACATCATAAAGAAGTTGCACACTGGCAGACAGTGGCCAACAACGTTTTAATGCAACATTGTACAATTTTATACAGGTTCTAATTCATCAGCAACGCTAACAAAAACACACTAAACAAAAACTTTAATACGACGACACCCTGTATTCTTGCAACTCTTTATAGTATAATGATAATAATTGAGAGCAAATATGCTCTTCCCTTAAGAATGGAGGAAACTGCAGCGGGCCTATTGGCCTTTGCTGGGCAGTTCCGTTTACACCTAACCCCTATTGCTCATATATCCATCCAACCTGTGTTTGAAAACTATCCAGCGTATTCGAGTTAATGATGATGTTTGGTAAACTGATCTCAACTAATACTCTATTTTCAAACCAATGTGTACCTATTGCGCACCTAAATCTAAGTTTGTCTAATTTAAAACCATTGCTACGAGTTCGCACCTGGTTGAATAGTTTGAGTACCCATGTTATATGACTTTTGTTTAGCCCTGACTTCCATTTATACACCTCGATCAAATCGCCCCTCACACTACGTCTCTCGAGGGAGTGCAAATTAAGATGCTTTGACCTGTCTCTGTACACAAGGTGCCTAATGCCCGGGATTAGTCGTGTCATTCTCCTTTGAATTCTTTCTAGGGATTCTATATCCATGATACTAGGAATTTGAGTTTTCTTCCTGGTTGGTAATAAATATTGAAATTTGTATGAAAACGTGGTCAGGAAAACCAGGATTTTCAGAAAATATTTAATCTCAGCTTGATGATGATTGTGAAAGTCAGCCCTCCCTCCCACACTACCATTTTTTTCCAAGGTTAATTGCTTCTGTGGTTGAGTCCTTAAAAAAACTCCCATAACCTTGAAAAAAAAATGGATACAGCCTAGAATTTACTTGTCTTAAATAAGAACCCTGGCATTCTTTCTCTTGCAAAAAATTTCTACAAGTGACCAAACTTCAAGCATAGGTACACTCATTCTAATAAATTTCACAATGAACACCACGACTCCTTTTGTCTTGGTAGGGATGTCAGAATCCTTTGTCCATTGTGTCACATTGTCTCACAAAATCGTAGAGATACTTTTTGGAATGAGACAGACAATTATGGTGGAATGCTCTGCCTTCTGTGTTCCCATACTCATACAATGTCTCACTTCAAAAAGCTGGTTTTCCAGCATTTTCATGGTGTAGATTAATTTAGTCACTTTCTCTTCTATTTTTAATTTCTTTTTACTCTTTTGTCGCCCCCAGACCCCGTTGTGGGTCGATAACCTGTGCCCGGGTTGGCTATTCCCCGTAATATATCCTGTATATATACAGGGTGAGCATTAAGTCTTTCCCTGACAACAAACATTTATTACACAAAACATATGCTAGGTACAAACATACAGTTTTTTGCAGCTTAAAATATGCATGGAAAAAAATCTATGAATTCGTCTACACAATGTTACAACATTCATATTTCTATCTAGAATGGTCTTCGAGATATGATTTTTCATAATCAGGGAAAGACTTTATGCTCACTTTGTATAACCACGACTGCGCACAAAGAGATAAATATCCAATCTTTGTCTACTTTGCAAATATTTGGGCTACAGGGTAAGTCCAAACTTTTTCATTAAATAAACACTGTTTCTTGTACTTGGATTTGTTGTAACGGAGTTAATATTCATTGTATATTGAAAGACTTGGGGTTATCTTCTAATCTACATTCTGCATTATGGAAAGCAAGACTCAAATCACACTGATCTTGCCTACTATTATTCTACTAATTCCTAACTCACTGGCAAATTCGGTGTCCTTGGGCATGAAGTCCACGAAGAAGAAATAAGACTGGATGATGGCCTGGGGTATAGCCTCCACCATGGCCTGCAGGAGGCGGGTGAAGGCTGCCCACTCCACTGCGTTCACAGATACACTCCCGCTTACCGTCGACTCTATGTGTCGATACAACCTGCAGGAATAACACATGGTGGAGACTTTTAAATACATTTTGTCACAGCCTATCCAAAATCCGTTTCTGAATAGAACTTTCTTGATACTGTATATACAGTTGTATTATGTCTGAACCAGGGTATAAAGATCATCTGTACACGGAAAATAATAACTATAGAGTTAAATTTTTTCTGGTTGACTCAACTATATCTCATACACGTCGTTGTCGCTGCCTTAAAATAGATTAATTAGTTGATAAATTTATACGAAACATTTATTTTGTAGAAGAGAAAATGGCAAGCGTGCATACCATATTATACGTACAGTCTCGTTCAAGATTCTTCGAACACTGCTGGAGACAGCTGGTAACTCGAGGCCTTTTGTTTATTTGAGTACGTAGTATAAATTATAAATGAATGTAAAAGGTTATCGGTGCTTAAGTTTCCCCGTTTCTTAATTAATGGTTGGGCTTTATTGTTTCGTATTATATTATACTACGTACTATAGTAAACAAACGGCCTTGAGTTGCCAGCTGTCTCCAGCAGTGTGCGAAGAATCTTGAACGAGATGTACCTGTATGTATCCTGCCTCAGCCTGTATGAGACAATGACGCCAAGCCCACTTGACAGATTCCCCAACTCTGGTATATAAGGGTGCGCCTTCACTGGAGCATTTTAGCCCGAGCCAAGGACCTTGGCCCGAACAAACCAAACGAGCAGAACTGAACGCGCTGAGCAGAATTCTGCAAGTAAGTACGTGTGTCCAAGCCGAACCAAGCGCACCAAACGTTTTCGTTGCTTGTCGGAAGATGGTGCTTGCTCAGAAGGTTTCAGTTGCTCGTTTTTCGCAATTAGGACGGGTGTTCATGCTGTTCCAGTTATTCCGTGTGTTATGGAGTGGGACAGGGAGAAATATTTAACCTTACTGGATTAATATGAGAAGCGTGTAGTGGACGTCTCCTCTACAACTGCCTACAACTGCGCAGCCACAGCCACCACCTGCTACCGCATTCCGACGTGCCGTCTCCTAGCAACAAAGCGAGAGCTGACGCCAGATGGTACGGTTGCTTAGCAACGAAACTATTCACCGGCAACTTTCTGGGTTTTCCCAACATGATTCATAGAGGACTGGCGGCTGCTGCTGGGTATATAAGCTCTGTCTCTCCATTGAGATTCATTCTGACCATTCTTCTTGAACAAGCAACACCTCCTCCTCCGCCACTGCCTGGCTCCCTTCGCTTCTCCTCTCCTGCCTGGCGGTCCTCGCTCCCGCCAGCGAGCATGGCGACCCACCAGCTGTCCTCTGAGCTTCCTCACCAACCAACTCTCATTCTGCCCATCTTCCTGAACAAGCAACACCTCCTCCAGCAAGCCCTACGCTGTTAGCAATCATTCAACCAGGAGGCCAGCAACAGGCAACATCTTCTCTGACGAAGCTCCTGCACATCTACCTCCTTCAACACGCTACTCACCAAACGTCTTCTACTGAGCAGCTCCCCACCACACGGCACCTCCAGCACCAGACTGTCTATCATATAACTTATATTATATAAGAAAACCACATTAGAGTTTCCTTCCATCCCGAGTGCTAGACAACATTAATATCTCGATACCCCTACAAATGGTGACTCCCGGAGATTAGCACTCACACAGGATGGAGGAGACACTGATCACGCTCCCAGTCTTCAAGCAGACACCGGCTCCTCTTCCTGCCCCAAGCACCACATCCTACCGACCCCAGCACACCCGTCCTGCCTCAGACGCCGACCCCGGCCCAGCAGCAACCCCTGACGCGGCCTCTGTTCCTGAATCCGGACCCACACACACCCCTCTTTTCTCCCTCAGGTACTCCCTGCTAATGTCTTGCACCCTGCTGCTGTCGTGGACCCAGCTGCTGTCACGAGCCCTAATCCGCTTCTGCTGACGCAGCCCCTGCTCCTGACCCAGGCCCACACACACCCCAGCAGGCGCATCTGACGACCCTGTACCTGTCGTGAGGGAAGCACAACATTCATCGCCTCCACACACCCTTTTTCTCCCTTCTCCCACAGATAGTGTGTATCTAGACAGTTGTATTTCAGCGATCGGCTCATCACGCCATCGCCGTTGTCTCACATGAGGCATGCACCGCCCGGTCTGCCTCACATGTGCTAAGCAACTCTACAGACAACAAGTCTCCTACACCGCCTGGAGGGAAGGTGGAGTATTGTAGTGGACGTCTCCCCTACAACTGCCTACAACTGCGTAGCCACAGCCACCACCTGCTACCGCATTCCGACGTGCCGTCTCCTAGCAACCAAGCGAGAGCTGACGCCAGATGGTACGGTTGCTTAGCAACGAAACTATTCACCGGCAACTTTCTGGGTTTTCCCAACATGATTCATAGAGGACTGGCGGCTGCTGCTGGGTATATAAGCTCTGTCTCTCCATTGAGATTCATTCTGACCATTCTTCTTGAACAAGCAACACCTCCTCCTCCGCCGCTGCCTGGCTCCCTTCGCTTCTCCTTGCCTGCCTGGCGGTCCTCGCTCCCGCCAGCGAGCATGGCGACCCACCAGCTGTCCTCTGAGCTTCCTCACCAACCAACTCTCATTCTGCCCATCTTCCTGAACAAGCAACACCTCCTCCAGCAAGCCCCACGCTGTTAGCAATCATTCAACCAGGAGGCCAGCAACAGGCAACATCTTCTCTAACGAAGCTCCTGCACATCTACCTCCTTCAACACGCTACTCACCGAACGTCTTCTACTGAGCAGCTCCCCACCACACGGCACCTCCAACACCAGACTGTCTATCATATAACTTATATTATATAAGAAAACCACATTAGAGTTTCCTTCCATCCTGAGTGCTAGACAACATTAATATCTCGATACCCCTACAAGCGTCCTGAGCTGTGAAAGCCCCAACATTGCTTCTACTACAATAAAGTTAGGAAGCATGATTCCTGGGTGAGCATTGCACAAATTATG